TGCGTGTCTGCATGTCCATTAGCGTGTCAGAGACTGGGAAAACTAAGCACTCGCTTGGTTTTGTAAGAAATCGATAACCGGAACGAAACGAATGTCAACGGGACAAATAAGCGATAGAATGGACAGTGAAACGAAAGAGCAATAAAAGATTCCGCGGATAAGATTCAAGAGTCACTATCTGTCTGATTCAACATGTTATATTTGAGAGATATTTCTTTGAAAGCAACTCACATTCATTGTTTGTTAGTGTTATATTATGTTCAGTGTTAGCTAGAAAATGATTTGATAATGAAAAACTCATCCGCTTGCGCGCTTTATCTTAACAGTCGGTGAGTGGGCTACAGGACATTTCGCCGTTGTCTTCCGCCTCCGCTTAGATCGTTCAAGCATTCGCAAATCGGGATTGTCGTTTACAGCATTGAGTATATAAGCCGCTCTGTCATCTTTTCCTAATCAAACTTCTGTCTGGTAAACATATGCTCTCCTCACTACTATCATACACATACATGGTCAACCACTGGATGGTTTCTTGACATCAGCAAGGCTGTGTTCATTAATACATATCACGCTTTGCATTGTGCTACACAACATTGTTTACGCTTATGGGGGAGGTATGGGGAGTCTGTTGAAGTATTTGTTCGTTTTTCGAGCCTACAGTCTTGTAATTTTCACTCTTTGTCAGTATTGTTTTTAACAACCTGTGCCAATCGAGCTCACAACTTTTTTGCTTCCCCTGGTCTTCAGGAAAAGAACGAACCACTAACCGAGTTGATAAGCTATTTGATCGTTTCACGTGGAGATTGGCGACGGCATCAGACTCCCGTGGTGGATGCGGAGCCCGCATATCTTCCTCGTTTGGTCTCTTATCATGTTGGACATGGAACGAATGTGACTCACGACATTTGCCTTCCCAACGGCTCAGTGGAGCGCGTCATGTTCCCTAAGCGACAGACTGATAAGTAAGCTGATCGTAATTACTCAAAGACCTGTGTGATAGCTTTCTTTTGTTCGTGGAAGAGGGTTTTTCTTCCGCTTCTTCCAAGGACAACAGCTGGTCCCGGAAACTGTTGTTCCATATGAAACCTGGGGGAGCAACAGGTTTTATTACTGCTTTAGTGAGAGTTCTGTTCGATTATCGGGGTTATAATGAATCGCGGTTTTCTGGAGAACGACAGACATATAGTTCGGTGATCTGGTGACAGATACAATCCATCTGTTTCTAGCTAATTTGCCAGCTCCTTCTCTTTGATGTCTTGGCTTCATCAGCTCCGGGTAGGCGCAGCGCTCGTCTGCCCGTTTTAGTCTACCAAAGCAGCTTAAATAGCACCAATAGATTTGTTTCAGGTCGTGAGTAAACGGTGAGAGACAGACAATCGATTGTAAATGGATTTGCCTATTGTTGAATGTTCACACATTGCATTTCATTGAATTTCGCATTTCTTCCGTTGCCGTTTCTGTTATTTTGAACCTTAATTCTTGTTCTTCTATTCTATATAGATCTTTGTATTACTTCTTGAAACACGCTCACGCGGGTGATCTGGTGCCCTGTGAACCAGTGGTCGAATCAGAGGCGGTCGAAATGGAACCGGATGAGTAAACGACCACCACCATTCCCTCTTGTTGCATACATACCTGTTGTACATATGTAAACTAATATATATCCCATAAATCAATCCTCTGTGAACAATGCTGATTTCTTTTTGACTTTCCTAACTACAAACTACGTTTAAAGAATGCAAACGAATTAGCCTGCACTCTGTTTCTTCCTATCGATCGGTTTACCTATTCCCCTCACTCCCGCAAAGATAATCTAAGAAACTGCTGAAACAGTAATTTGGGACTAGCATTTTTTTTAGTGTTTTCCTAGATTTGCAATTAGCTAGTATACTTTTCATCGCTACTCAAGGTAAACACGTGATGTGGCTTTGGAAATATCGCTTCATTTAACATGAGACAAACGTAAAAAAGAAGTTATTCAAACCGAAATACGGGAACTGGTTTGCACCGTTGTATCAACTAGTCGATCACTGGAACCTCGTGCTGGGATTATTCACTCCAGAGAGTTTCGTTGAAAACAACCCGCTTCTAACTCCATCAACATATAGGTTTTATCGCAAGGGAAGCGGTCACTTTAGAATTTTAGTTGAAAAGTGTTCCCCCAAGTCATTGGCAGCCGGGTGCTGCACCGTGCCAAATATATGTTGGTAGTCTTTTATTATCTGACATGCATGATTTGCTGTAAAGGAGCAAAACCTATAATCAAAAGGAATACTGTACAGTTCATTTTGTAGCACGGTTAACTATGCACTTTCTTGCGCCGATTTTGGTTGCTGTGTGACACGATGGGCGATGCTTAAGGATGAGGTCGGGTTAGGAGAACGCAGAAAAAATTTATGGATTAAGGTCTTGTATGCGTCTAAATTGAATGTTTCAAGGGTTGTAGCTAAGGCAGATTGTTGGCCAATCTAATAGGTTGCGCGGACGTTGAATGCGCCTAAGTGAAAAGAGAATTTTGGTTTCTAAGTTCCGATAACTTCTGATTGTTTGCCCTTAAGGAACGTGGAGTGATATCCGATGAGTGGCGTAAACAGAAGATATATTTGATTATTCGGGATTGAGAGGAAGAACTAGACAGATGGGAGAGATTTTCCCAAATGGGTGCCCATGACTTTAGGGCACGATATACTTCGCGGTAGCCCGCACCGACTAAGGGTTTTTTTCTTTGGAACCCTAATCGGAGCCTTTGACTCAAAAGTTTGACCCACAAGGCAGTGTGGCTTAGATCCAAAGCGGGAGTGTAACCGAAGCACTCATGTGGAAACGTCTAGAGACCTGTCACGCAAGGCCTTCGGATTTCGGTTGAGTGTATCGTTCACTGGTACGCTGTTTGTTCGTCCCGTGTTCGGTATTAGCCCTTACTCTCATGCCCCCAATGAGACAAGCGGAACGCCGACCTGATAGCACCTTATTGTCCGCTTTGGCGGGTGGTAGCTATCCAATGAATTGCGAAGGCTGTGCAGTGGGAATTGCGGGAACATTTGTTCCGAACACTTGTTGTTTCTCCACGTGAATATCAACTGATTTTGAGATGGGAGAAAGAAACAGCAAGGAGAACTGTTTCTTAGTCCCACAACTACCGGTAAAAAGAGGATTTAAATGTCATCTTTCGACTTTTCTTTGTTTAGTGCTACCTGGTTAGGATAGCTTAACGCTTGTGGCCAGTCGTGGAAAACGAAATGGGTACTAGAGCGGCAAGCTCCGCAGAACAAAAGACCTTGGTAAAAATAGGAGGGAACACGTGGTTGAAGATAGAATGTTAGGAACGGATCGGCGAACGCGGTAATAATGATAAGGAAGAACAGTGTGGCCCGACCCAGCCAGGGCGACAAAAATCCACTTGGGGACGAATTCGGGCCTTGTGAAGAGTGAGAAGTTGAAACGGAGAAAAACCGCTTCCTCTGGAAACGTATGGAGTCTTCCTAAATACACGTTGTCTTCAATAATATGAAAAGGAGGAGGAAAAGTGAATTAGGGAGGGAAGGCACAGAAGTGGTCTGTGGGATACTGGTATGTAATAGGGTTTATCCGCATTAAAGTCTACTCCATTGTTGTGCTTCAATCAGTGGTTTCACTCAGGCTTAGACGGAATGATACATACCGACAACGATCGTTTGTGCTATTAACAACAGCATGCAAAATGTGGTGAAGAAAATGGCAGTGAGCCATGCCATCGTGGGTAGGATTAAACATTTGTGGCAAAACGTGATCGAAGAGGATGTTAGATAGCACATTCCTGTGAGGCTCTTGACGTAATTGAGTTCACTCAATCAATAGGAACCGAGATCAAACGGTCACAATGCAAGTGATGAAACACGGTATTACAGGCTATATAGTTTGCAATTCAAGTTTTCCACCTATCAAATCAAGTTGTCCCAGTTTCATTGGCTCCACTACGGTTACGAATCACGCGTAGTGTTAATCTTCAACGATATCTGGATGATCGGAAATCAGCACAGATTTTTCAATTTCTTGTTGAATCCCGAGGGGGGATCGTGGACGCTGTTACTACCTGTCCCACTCAAGTCCCAAATCCTAGGGCATATCTAGGCCGCCTGTCTTTCACGTACGCGTACCCGTCTGGATCGCTCCTGAAACCGACAAATTAGTTCGCACTATTTTTCGCGGGATGATGCTCGCTCGATACATGCATCATTTTGGGTCAGTTTGTGAACCGCTTACATATTATATTGCATCTCGCCGGTACCGACATAGAAGCATCAACAGAATTTCTACCCTTCAATAACTGAAGAATCAAAATGACCATATACCCGGCCCAGAATAAGACACCTTTATCAACCCAACTGCAATCGAAATGACGTAACGAGAGTTGTTGAAATGTATCATAACTATATGAAACGTATTTAGTTTCATACGAAATCCTGAGTTCAAAAACTGGATTATTTTAAAAGTTGCACTTTTCTGGGTATGGATTCTGAATTCGCTGAAGTCATATGGTCTTATTGTGCAACTTGTCCACTGCGTGGTGCAGTGATAAGTCAAGCCACACAGATTGAGCCTAAGAGGAGACATTCACACTTAATTATTGCGAACTTTGAATCATCTTACTCGTCAAATAGTGCGTCGTAAACCAGAATGTGCACCATAATTATGCGAACAATCGAATTTCGCAATTCATGCCCAACAGCAAGCAAATCACACTAGTCATTCTATATTTAGTTATTACCGGTAGAGTGTATTCGATCGAAAATCTCTAAACACCGTTTCCGCGTATAGCACACCACAGAAAAACTGCTCTTTGGATATATATTTCTTAGATGGTGAATGTTTGGATTAGCCCATTCGGTTTTTCACAGGCACTGTTGATGATTTTGGTTGTGGATTTCACTCCTTGGGAGATCGTTAATTCCACACTGTCTGTATGCATTTAAATTCGATGGAAATGTTTATGATAACCAACAAAGAGCACTGGACAGCTGTTTCGTCCTGTTTGGTACTCGTCAGCAGTGCGTGCTTTTTGTGTCCCTGTCAGGACTCGAAGCNCTCGAAGCGCGATTCTTCGGGCTGGGACTTCAAACCCTTACCCTTGACCTACACGGTCGACGGTTATCATCTTGTGCGAATGGCTAAATCAATTCAGATGGTGAATGTTTGGATTAGCCCATTCGGCTTTCACAGAGATCAGACACTGTTGAGCCATTCGCACAAGATGATAACCGTCGACCGTGTAGGTCAAGGGTAAGGGTTTGAAGTCCCAGCCCGAAGAATCACTCTTTGAGTCCTGTCAGGGACACAAAAAGTACACACTACTGACGAGTACCGAACAAGAAGAAACAGCTGTCCAGTGCTCTTTGTTGGATATCACAAACATTTCCATCGCATATATTTTTTTCATTACGTTTAAGATAGTTTTGAGTTCATAAAGGAAACCTTAGGAACCGATTTTTGATACACCTGAACGAGTTTAAGTCTCTATATTTTCTCCATCAGGGTTAAATCAAGAGTATACGTAGACTAGTCCAACATATGAATTCCAAAAAAGAGTAATGATGTTATAATGATAGAATATGCTTGTAATGTGGCGCTGACTTATGGATAACTACCATTCCACACCTCTTCATTGTGATGAAAGTCAAACGAGAAACGTCTAAATCTTTTGAAAACTAGAGCAACTCCATTTCCCATAGGAACTGAAACCCACCCCTAGTAACCAGTGTAAAACGTCCTATGAAAACGATTTGTTTATTTCGGCTAACATTTTATATAAATTGGATACATCCCGAAAAATTCCAAGCGAAAAGTTATCAAAACTTAATAAAAGTTAACTGCGGAAGATTTCAACGAAATGGTATGTGAACGACCGTATGATGTACATCGCAGTCCAAATCTACAGAATAATCACGGAAAAGTGAAAGAAACAGAATTCGGAGAAAGAGACCCAAAATCAGGAATGAAACATAAAATTCTAAAAAATAGAATTGAAAAAGAATCCATACGACCAAAAAGAAAACGAAACAATAAATCTGTGGTGATCGTCTAACGAGTACTCACGAACCGCGGTACATCTTTCAGATAACCAATCAAGAAACGGAATAACCGACCAATCCTTTGGTCTCAATTGGCACAAGCCGGATTGGCTGAATGCAAGAAGGCAAACAAATAAACCGTATCATTGTCGATTGGACATTGAAGAATCGACCAATGATTGTGTATTCCTTGTGATATATATTTGCATGATTTTCTGAAAAGAATTAACTGAATCCACAGTTCGTCTTGGTTCTACTGACTTTGCGCTACTCAGTGGGTTTTCAGTTCGATTCTGAGTTCGTGCTATTTGATTTTGATTGATATTCCGAATATTACAATTGGAGTTGCGCACTATCGAATCCCTTAATCTACATTCACATCCGTCCGAGATTGAAGAATGGGTCGAACGTTTTGAGCTCTGGTGCAGCCTACGAGAGAACGGAAAGCAGGAGCAGTCCATACTATTCCTCGCAGTCGGCAGAAAGGAAATGTATTCTCTACTGACGAATCTCGCTTTCCCAGACAATTCGGCTAAGTTACCATTCCAGGTGC